CACTGGTATTTTAAGTTTTATAAATCCTAAACACTTTTTGTCAGTGTGTCCACTCCAGTAATAGTAATATTTGTGTCCAGTATTTGTTTTCATGGCAACACCTTCGATAGTCGTTCCAATAAATACAGCTAAGTATGACTGAAGTTGCTTTCAGTTATGTATCAATTGAAGACAATATCCGGATCACACACAGCCAGTCAGCCACTGGTAAGGGCTGTATCTTTTTCTTACAGTGTTCAGTGAAAATATCGCAATGCATCGCAATGTTTCAGGTATCGTGATGCATCGTGATAAAATCGCATCGTGGCATGTGAATCGTGATTGGAATCGAATCGTGACTCCTTAGGCAATACCCACCCCTAGTTAAAACAGCTTTTTCAGAGTTGAGCGTGAGCCAGATCGGTTTTGAGTGTTGGTTGTCTCACTGCGCGCTTGGATTGGTTCCTGCACACTCACACAGAAGGCGCATATAGTGAAGGTGCAGTACTTTCCAAAACCACAGAGGGGCAGTGATCAACATAAAAAGTGCAAATGCAGAAAAAAAGAGAAGAAACGGTTCACGGCTCACTTCCAACATGGCCGAGCAAAGTACCGTTCATTTAAGAAGTTGTGATAATTGAAGAATATTCTGTGTTACACAGAATTACAGTGAAATACAAAAGCACGTTAAATTGTTGCACAAACAGAGAAATGACGATGGGGAAACCAACCCCCTGTGGAGCCCATATGGACCTTTTTAAAAAAACAAAAAAAAACAAAAACAAGCCTATATAAAAATTATATTATCGTTAATAAATCCTGAATGCAATGGACAGTTGTTTCAGACTTTATCTTTATTGTAGGTGATGGAAACAGACACTAAAATCCTTGTTTTACCGCATGTTTGGCCAATAAACTCAGCCCTGTTTCCTTTACAGTAACACTGCATTTAACCAAAATGTTCCACTGGAACCTTCTGCACCATTTGATGTCAGTAAAGCCAAACCTGTTCGTGGAAAACAACTTTATATCCTCCCCTTTGGACCCAAGCTGGCGCACACGGGCTGCCCCAAGTTACAAAAGTTCGGAGGTGCACCACCTAGTGGCCAGGCTGTGCGTGTGTTCTGCACTTTTGGGCGGGGACGGCAGGTTGGGTCACATTTGGCACATGTACTCTCGTGCCGTGTTGGATGGGGCGTGTATAAACCAAGCTTAATGCTTATGCTAAGTCACTGCACATACGTACCTTGGTAACGGACAGCGCCCACTCAGCCTCTCATCCTCTACGTAGCGCCGGAGAACATCCTGGGCCCTCTTTAGGAGCACGGACAGCGCCATTCGAGAGATGTAGCCCTCCTGAGGGGTGGACACTTTGTTGCTAAAGGAAAACTGGAGCAACGTCTCAAAGCACACCTTCGAAAACTCTTCCCTCATCCGCACATCGATCTCAGCCTCTGTGGAATAAAACAACCTCAGCGTCTGTGGAGCAAAGCTGACTGCTGTCTTAGGGCGAGTCCCACTAAGACTGCACATCTGAGGTTTTTTAAAACATCATAACTTAGGGAGGCAGAAGGGATGAGCTCTATCACCTGACTTTATTATTACCTGTGAATGATGGAGCTTGGGAGTGAATGGAGCCCTTATTGAGCATAGTCATGATCTGACCAACAAAGTCTTTGGGGATGAAGTTGGCAAATGGTAAAATCTCTGTACTGATCAACTGGACCACCTAAAAGGAAGGAGAAAATTGCAATTGAAACGGGAAGGCTAAATGCTTTCGGACATTATCTATGAATCAATGAAACACGCAAACCTCAACATCAACAGACTCATTCTGCTGGAACTCCTGAATGGACAGATTATCAGGGGCAGTGCTGTAAAACACACACGATTAGCACAAGACAGGAACCGCCTGAATCCTGGCCCTCTTCTTCAGCCGGGCTTGGAGATAACTTACCTTTTGGTGAAAAGAAAGTCTTCAAAGGCATTGGCCAACTCTGGCCACATAGAATCGAACTTTCCAGACGAGGCATGCTGGCGTGCAACAGGCAACCCGATAGACAGCACCTTCAGCAGAGAGGAAACGGCCAGCTTCCAGGTACTCTCTGATGGACAGGCATACTTCAAACCCAAGGGCATTCTAAGAGTCTAGGAGAGGAAGAAACAGCAGATCACAGTTTAATCTTCTAAAATAAATACTATCTTAAAAATGCTGGTGAAGATTCTCAATCATCCTGGTCATAGTCATCCCAAAAAAGTAAAAAACAATCCACTGGACTTTGTTTCCAAGTTTGAACCAAATTCAATCTTAGAAACAAAGTCCAGTGGAGTGTTTATTAACTTTTTTGGGATATCTTAAAGTTCAATCTACATGAAACTGGTATTAATGTTTGGATCAGTTAATGAGAAATTAAAGGATAGAAGATAATAAAAAAACAAGGACTCTTTCTTATGAGATAAAGATTTCCAAAGGAAAAGCCACATTTTCTATGTGCAACATGCAGGATGTTTATGCCTGTGATAAAATCATGACGTCAGAAAGAAGGAGTGTAAAATAGGCCTTAAAGCAGTGAAATGAACAAACTCTGAAATGATTCATCATTCTTAATCCATTTTTATTTAGCTAAAATAAGGATATAACTGTCACACAATCAAAAGAAAGAGGATTAAATCCATAAAATCTTT